TATCACCTGGACTCCAGGTTCACCATTCTCCGTTCTCCACAGATCCTCCCTGAGTTACCCGCCTGACCCAGCGCAGTAAATAAATATCACAAGTGTTAAGCCCTTTTGTTCCTCAGTTCCCCGGTTTTATTCTGATAACATGATATTTGATCTGGTAGATTAATATTAAAGAAACCTTTTTCTGAGAGTGCCACAAAATGAACACACTCGCATACACAAACAAAAACAATATTGCCTTTTCATCTTTGGTGGCAGGCAATAMTGAAACAGTAAAGTTTTGAAAATAAAATATATGATGATGCTTTATCTTTAGTTTGTTTGCCACCACCCAGTTGGCAGCTGTTTGAGGTTGCAAACTATCAATTTTAATCTAAACGTTAATTTTCGCACACCTCTGTCCTGGATACCCCACTCCACTTGTGTACACAAATCCACATATGAATCTCAGAGCTACAMTGGCATCCAGGGGCCACCCCCCATTAAACCAGTCCACAGGTGCTGCTGTCTACGCTGGATGGACAAGAACCAGAGCAGAATTGAGTTTTTACACATGAACATGTGCAACACATACACGCTTTCTTCTACACACCTCTGAGCCATTGGGGCCAAGCTCTGCGGTTAATGACTTTCCCACCCACTACACAGCRTGCACATGTTGAAGCCGTTAACGATAAGAGGCTTTTCAAACTTGGTAACGTCCTAATGTCCCTGTTAATCTAGCATTCCTCACTTCAAAGAAAGCACACGGGCTAACAATTTCTGTGAGATGAGCAATTTCGTCAACTATTTAAAGCCAACAAGCAAACATTTCTTGACTTACAAACAATCTGAGCGACAGTGAGACAATTTTTTCCCCCCAAAACATTCTGATGTCAACTAAAAACAGTRTGTGTGCGTGTGTGTACAGCTAATGTTCCTCTGATTAATAATTTACATAAGTGCTGTGTGGAGCTTGATCAGCATGCAGCAGCCCATCTTTGCTGATGTAACGGATATAAAACCCCGTAGTATGAYTGATGTAAGTGGACAATGTTAAAGCAAAGACTCTTGATTTACAGGCTAACACCATAAAACTACTTACTTACAATAACGGAAAACTTAAAAGGCATAATCTTTGTGAAAAGGTGTTTTTTATTTAATTTATCTATTTACTTATTTATTTTTGCTGAGTCATCAATCACACTATTGCTTTCCTGTTAATAGTTTCTTCTGTTTTTTTCACTTTTGTTTTTTTTCACTGTAACTACTTCAGCATACTTTCAGCCTGGTGTCAGAAGCACTACGCTTGCTCAAGACATAACAGTTTTTGGAACTTGCATACTTACTTGCATTCTTTATTTATTTTTAATACCTCATTTAAATACAATTAAATCTTTTTACACGTTTCAAAAATATTATCTAAAATCAACTTCGATATGCTTGCTCTGTTTATGTCTCTTAATGCCTCTTGTCTACTTGTGACTCCTTTTGTTGTCATGACTTCTTTTTAGGTGTGACGTTTTGGTCTTTTAATGTGTTCTTATGTGTCTTTTGGGTCTTTTTTATCACTAATTTAACTTTTTTCATCTTTCTAGTTTTTCTGTCTGTCTTTCTGCTCTTTGCGTCTACGAAAGTATAGATATTATTTTACTTATCTTTAAGGTTTTCAGAGARGTAAGCTTCAGGATTCAGTTTGTATATTTACAGGGGTTCTAGTTAATAAATTAGYTGACTCCAATGGTTATATTTATGAAATTACACCCGACTGACACTAGATTAGGGCTGCCACAAAACGATTATTTTTATAATAGATTAATCCCGATTATTTTTTCGATTAGTCGACTAATC